CACTTCTCGAATTTTCCCTCCTTTTTGCCGTTTTTCAAAATTCGAGAGGTGAGGTTGTGATGAGAAGTTGGTGCCCGAGTGGATCGAAGTCACGATAGCTCAAGCGGTCGAGCAGCGGCGTATTTAGCCGAAGGTCGTGGGTTCGAATCCCGCTCGTGACACTGACTTTTTATCTCAACCGATACCTTTCATAAAGATTAATTAATTGAAAAAAGTTAATTGGTCAATCGGACCACGAACTGTAATGGATTACCGGGGGGTCTTTAAAAAAAGTGTTTGCAAATGGCTACAAAACAACCCATTTTACACTCTGAATGAATTTTTTTAACGCAGAGGTTGAAACAATGTAAAATAATAAAATGAAAATACTTAAAGATGTAAAATATGACGTATCCAAACAAAATGTAAACTTGTTCACGAATAAAAAATATTCATTCATTTATAATTTTCCTAATCAAATTTGTCATAATATTATTGTCAATGTCGTAATCAAATTCACGATAAAAATTACACGTCTCATTGGCAACAAATGGCAAACAACAGTAAATAAACAAAAGATGCCGTCTAGACGAGAAAATTTGCCTTTTATAAATAAAATTAAAACAAAAAATCGTGAATTCTCGTCAAGGTGGACTGGGTTTAAAAATTCCCTCGAGAAATATGCTAGTTTCCCTGTTACCCTTTCCTAAAAACAAACTTGTGGCGCGTTAAAAGACAGACAAACGAACCCAGTTGAACAATCTAAAATTTTTGGTAGAAAATAGATTTTACAATTAATTTTGAGGAAATGGTTCAACTCCCAGAGTATCCCATGGAATTATAATTGAGAATAATGTGAAAAAAGAATTGTTGAGTGGTTCTGGCCCCTCATTTTCGACACCCTACGATTAGTTGGACTAGGATTTTTTTACTTTTGTTTAAGTTATATTTGGCACCATAGGCACCAAATATTGTGATTGTTTCATGTACACTCTATAATTGAATAAAATTAAGTAAAATTACAAATCAATTATTTTTCGTGATCCCATGGACCAAATAACTTCCTTCAATTAATTAATCTTTATGTAAGGTATTGGTTGAAATGATAAAGTTAGCGTCACGAGCGGGATTCGAACCCAAGACCTTCGGCTAAATACACCGCTGCTCTATCACTTGAGCTATCGTGAATCGAATCCTGATTACACGGCATTTGAAAAATGGCAAAAAGGAGGGAAAATTCAAAAAGAGGGGTTGAGATGGGAAGTCAGTGTCCGAGTGGATCGCAGTCACGATAGCTCAAGTGGTCAGAGCAGCGGCGTATTTAGCCGACGAAGGTCGTGGGTTCGAATCCCGCTCGTGACGCTAACTTTCATTTCAACAAATACCTTACATAAAGATAAAATTACAATCTTGTGATAAAGGTTATATATTTGAAGCTCGAAAGGGAATTCAACCTGCCTTATTTAGTTATAATATTGCAAGTTGTACAAATGCCATCACTTTTTAAAAACAATGTATGCGACACAATTCAGGTAAGATAGGGAAAGAAAAATGCGACTGATCAATGACAGCGATCCTTTGTAGACAATAAACTGAAAACAATTCTTACTTTTCTCATTTACGAGTTTTCCAGGCCCTTCAATGTCCATAAAAAATTTAATTTTGATTTTACAATCTCTTTGTTTATGAATTATTTCCTTAACAATTTACTATTATGTTTACAAACAGGATGTAAAAGACAGATTGTTTCTAAGTTCAGGTAAGACAGGGTAAGAAAAAATGTGACTAATCAATGACAGCGATCCTTTGTAGCCAATAAACTGAAAAGAATTCTTACTTTTTCCGTTTACGTGTTTACAGGCCCTTCGATGTCCATTAAAAAAATTTAATTTTGATTTTACAATCTCTTTGTTTATGAATTATTTCCTTAACAATTTACTATTGTGTTTAGAAAAAGGATGTATAAGAACAGATTGGTTCTAAGTTCAGGTAAGATAGGGTAAGAAAAAACGTGAGTGATCAATCACAGCGATCCGTTGTAGACTATAAACTGAAAAAAATTCTTACTTTTCCAATTTACGAGTTTTCCAGGCCCTTCTATGGCCATAAAAAGAATTATTGTTGAATTTACAATCTCCTTTTCTATGAATTATTTTCTTAACAATTTACTGGTGTTTTTGTGAATTACATCCTGTGTTTACAAATAGGATGTATAACAACAGATTGGTTTAAAGGCTCGCCAGGATTTTAACATCGATCGATTAATTTTGCTGTTAGTCAAGAGGAAAGTAACTCTGACCGATTGCAAAAAAAAAATATCCAGGATTATTTGTAAAGATATATCCTGTAATACAGCATTTTGGGAAAGTTGTGTGAAGTTCAGAAGTCTTAGATTTTGACAGTCGCAAGAAACTGTTAGAACGTGAAAAATCTGTATTTCCTTAAAAATATAAATAAATAAAACGAAATTTTTGTAGATTTAAAAAATTAATAGTAGCAATGTAAAACCGTTTATATTTTGCCTTAATGTGTGGTGTAAGTGTAACTGTATCTAAACATTTTTTGGATCGCTTAGTTTCCCTGTTTTTGTAGACCTGATTTGTGTTTTACGTTTTGTTCTGGTTTACTTATAAATAACTTATAGTTCAACACCTGGCAAAGTTGTGTGTAGTTCAGTAGTATTAGAATTTAGCAGTCATCAAGAAAAAAAATCTCAAGAAACTATCAGTTTGTTGGCAATTTTGTCTATTTGTCTAATGTTTTTTTTAAAGAAATCATAACAATAGAAAACGTTTTATAATTTGTTTTCATGTACGTGATTATTTATCTAAAATTTATAGAAGCAACTTAACTTAAACAAGTCGTGTGAATTTCAGAGATGTTGGTTTTGAATAGTCTGTTATATTGTGGACAAGTTTGTATTTCTTTTGATAAAAATCATTTTTAAAGCGTTACTATTGTATATTTTAAAAAAATTAATACGAACCATAAAAAACCGCTATAATTTGTGTTAATTTATATAGTATGTAATTTTATCCAAACTTTTCGGGGATCGTTTATTTCGCTGTTTTTCAAGAGGCAAATTTGGTTTAATTTTGATGCTTCTTCTTTTTATCCTGGATTTATTTTAAATACATTTTTAAATTCAACAACATGATTTTTAAATTTGTCAAAGTTTTGTGAACTTTGAACGTCTTAATTTTTAACAATTGTTAAAAACTATCGGATTGTAGATAGATTTGTATTTCTATTGACAAAAATATTTTTAAAGCGTTATTTTTGTATATGCAAACAAAATGATGACAATAAAAACTACTTGAAATTTGTTTTAGTGTATGTAGTGATTAACTTTATCTAAACTTGTCGGGGATCGTTTAGTTTCGCTGTTTTTCAAGAGGCAAATTTGGTTTAACTTTGATGCTTCTTCTTTTTATCCTGGATTTATTTTAAATACATTTTTTAAATTCAACAACATGATTTTTAAATTTGTCAAAGTTTTGTCAAGTTTGGACGTCTTAATTTCTAACAATTGTCAAAAAACTATCAAATTGTGGACAAATTTGTATTTCTATGGGCAAAAATATTTTTAAAACGTTATTTCAACAATAATATACAGCTTATAATTTGTCTTAATGTATGTAGTGATTAACTTTATCTAAACTTGTCGGGGATCGTTTAGTTTCGCTGTTTTTCACGAGACCAATTTGGTTTAACTTTGATGCTTCTTCTTTTTATCCTGGATTTATTTTAAATACATTTTTATAAATTCAACAAAACGATTTTAAATATTGGCAAAGTTTTGTGAAGTTTGGACGTCTTAATTTTTAACAATTGCCAAAAAACTATCAGATTGTGGACAGATTTCTATTTCTATTGACAAAAATATTTTTAAAGCGTTAATTTTGTATATGGAAATAAAATGGTGACAATAAAAACTACTTGAAATTTGTTTTAGTGTATGTAGTAATTACCTTTATCTAAACTTGCCGGGGATCATTTAGTTTCGTTGGTTTTCAAGAGACAAATTTGATTTATCGTTGCTTCTTCATATTTTTATCCTGGACTTATGTTAAACATATCTTTTAAATTCACCAACATGATTTCTAAATTTGGCAAAGTTTTGTGAAGTTTGGACGTCTTAATTTTTAACAATTGCCAAAAAACTATCAGATTGTGGACAGATTTCTATTTCTATTGACAAAAATATTTTTAAAGCGTTAATTTTGTATATGGAAATAAAATGGTGACAATAAAAACTACTTGAAATTTGTTTTAGTGTATGTAGTAATTACCTTTATCTAAACTTGCCGGGGATCATTTAGTTTCGTTGGTTTTCAAGAGACAAATTTGATTTATCGTTGCTTCTTCATATTTTTATCCTGGACTTATGTTAAACATATCTTTTAAATTCACCAACATGATTTCTAAATTTGGCAAAGTTTTGTCATGTTTGGACGTCTTAGGATTTTAACGATTGTCAAGAAACTACACATTGTGGACAATTTTGTATTTCGATTGATAAAACTAAACACGTATTTAAACGTCTATTTTTTGAAATTGAAATGATGGCAATAGAAAACTGTTTATATGAATTTATTTGTGTTGTTATTTGTTTATGTAAAAGTTACAGAAGAAACTTTACGTAAACATGTCTTGGTTTGCTTAGCTTCGCTGTTTTACCAAAAGAAACATAAATCCCATTTATGTTCTTTTTATGCTGGATTTCTTGTAATTGCATTTATTGAAATACAAGAATATCATTTTTAACTTAGCAAAGTTGTGTCAAATTCTGTGGTCCCAACATACTTTTTGGAGTTTTATTTTAAAATTATCCTTAATTGAATCCTCTGATCATTATTATTTTTAAAAATTGTGTTTTATCGAACACTTAAAATGTAAGTATTTTCCTAAATTTTGGGCAGTTGTTAGTTTATCGTTGTGTCTTTGTATCTCATCGCTCCCTTCGATCAAAGTTAAAATTTCACGCCATCATTCTTATTAAAATTATGCAATTTACTCACGTTTCGTCTTCATTTTGGACCATTCTTCCGTTTAGGCAGTTCATGAGGCCGTTCAACATGTGGACAAGGACAGTCTCACGTTGCTCCACAACTGCTACTGGAGGGAAAAAGCCGGCTTTTTAACTTGACGCTGCCCCCACTACTTTCGTTTTTATCTCTTGTGTTTTCTTCTTTTTATTCTCCTAATTATATATTTTTTATTGTCCCTCGCTAATCCGAACTTGATGTGTAATTTTACGATACTGTCCCCCTTCTTGAGCCACTTCCGCTTTCCGTTTTTCTCCGTTTGGAACGATGTAATCTCGTTTTACCTGCACGGTACACGGATGCGTAAAAATAAAATAAAATAAATAAGAAACCAACCTAAATTAAACTTTATTCGATCAAATTCTGACAAAAAGAAAGCTAAATAGTGACGCTTATAAACAGTCCTACGCTAGGATTCAAAGTCAAGGATATAAGCAGGGCGATGCTTTTGTTTTTAAATTCAAAACAACAAAAACCTTATATATAGTTTTATCGAATAATAAGTTAAAATACAAACATCACTAATTGATTTTTTAATTCTCAAATGTTGATTTTACCGAGTCGAGAATTTACTCGACTCTCCCTGCTTATCACCTTGACTTGGACTTTTCATTATTTAATTTAATCTTAATAATGAAAGTAATAATTTACACAAGGCATTTATTTTGAGACAACCTTTGAATTGTATTATAGGTAGAAAAAACACCTTCATGGCCTGGGTTATAAGGAGGGCGAGGTATCAGGTTGATCGTTTTCGAGTTAATAAGATCAAAAAACCTGTAGTTCACTCAAAAAGCGAATGCCAAATACTAATTTAATTCGCCATTTTCACTAAGCTCAAATTGACAGTCAAAGAATATCAAGTGCACGTAGTCAAGGATATAAGCAAGGAGAGTTGAGCCGCTGAATGTTCGGGTTTACAACAGGATTTAGAAAAAATCTCGACGTGGTAAAAACCTTCACACATATTGATAAAATCTGAGGCACGAAGTACTGAAATATATAAATAATACACTCAAAAATAATCCAACGTCAGGGTTATAAGCAGGGAGAGGCGAGACGATGACACCCTTTGTACAACATGATTCAGTAAGACGTGATAAAACTTTTCACTCATATGGTTATGTGGGGCAGATAGTGTACAAATTATAGCCGCCCTAACGATGAAAAATCGTTCGACGACAGGGTTATAAGCAGGGAGAAGCTATAGTTTTTGTGTTCGAAACCCAATCCTTGCATAACAAGCTTTATTAAACAAGTTATAGACGTGAAAGAATAAATATATTTTTAATTTTTAAAATGGGGTAAAATTGAACAAAAACTATTATAGTCAGTTGGCACGAAATGAAGGATATAAGTAGGGAGAGGCGAGACGATGACTGGATAAATATTTACAACAGAATTCAAAAGGATACTACGTGCTAAACCTCTTCACACATATCCATAAAATCCTGTCAGAAATTACCCTAAACGCGGCTGAAAATGGTCCAAAGTCAGGGTTATAAGCAGGGTGAGGCCTTAATCCTTAAGTTCATAACAAAAAAAAACTTTTTGCATAAAAAGTTTTATTAAACTGTATGATTCGATAGAAAGACAGGAGAGACTAATAATTGTACTCTTGATTTTTGACGTGCGGACAAATTGACCCAAAACGATTATAGTCAGTTGGCCTGCAATCAAGGATATAAACAGGGAGAGGCGAGACGTTGACACGTTCAATTTTTGAACAAGAGCGAGAAAAAGTAAAACGTGGTAAACACCTGTTACAATCTGTCTGAAAAATTGTCTGCGATGATGGTTATAAACAGGGTAAGACAAGACGCATTCGTATCTGATTTTGACGGAAAAAACCCCTTTGCGTTTAATTAGAAAATAGTAGAATCAGAGGATAATTGTTTTGCTACAATGACTAAAGAATGTCAGGTAGTGTGAAGTGAAGGATATAAGCAGGGAGAGGCCGAACTCTACCGGTGTCTTCAGTCCGGTCAATTTCGGATCAATCTTTCTTAGTAAATATGTATGCGCGTTGTTTGCTTGGAAGTTTTTAAATAAATCGATAATAAAAGGTGTTTTGAACTTGAAAAACGTGTGACCTGTTGCCTCGACCTCCTTATAACGAGGATGTGGGTTGGACCAACGAGTTGATTACTGAACCCGTTTGGACTCAACAGCTGATGGCAAACTCAGATGGATAAATCAAATGACAACTCAGTTTTCAAGCTACTGAATACAATAAATTTATTAAATTTTGAATGAAACAATAAACATGTAATTTTTTGAAGTGTATTTTTTTCAGCCTGCGTTATGACACAATGGATTCTTCTTAACACTAATTCACTCGTCTTCGTCAGGATTTAGTTGACGTTTTGAAAGTTCACCGAGCTATTCATCACGTTGCTGTCTGTGATGTTTCTTTTAAACTTATTCCAGGTTGTGTTCAAAAAATCAATTAACTCACGACTCCGTCTTTTCATCGGGTTTTCACAGTTTTTAATACTCACGATTTTCAAATTTGATGACTGGCGGATGGGATGCATAGAATTGGCAGTTATTTTGCGTGAAATGATTCTACAATTTTGGTAGTTGGCATGTTGGTATTCGGTGGGGTTGAAGCGCATATTTGTTGAAGAGAGGCGCAGTCTTCTTCTATGTAATCGTGTTGGCATAACCGAATTCCATCACTTCTATAGGTGCATCGGTCATCAATGATATGAACGTGGTATACACGTTTGTTGGGGGTTAAAGATTCAGCGCAAAAAAACTTTTTCAGCCATTTACCTACCTATTCGTAACGTTTGTTTAGTATTTTATTTTCCTTTATCCTCTTGTACCTTGGCTTACAGAGGGTCCGAATGACACTGAAACACTGACACTGTGACAATGCCACTTGAACTGCAATATGGGCATGAAAAATTTAGGTGAACAGGTAAAGGTTCCATCAACAATAACATGCTCGGAATCCTTCAACAACTGTCTTGTTTAGCCGTGAAAATTGGCATACCATTTCGTGAATTGAGATGGAAAAATTTTTATCGTAGGAAAATACGGTATCCTGAATTCAAACAGTTGTGTCTTGACTGTGTGACTTTTCCTCGTACTACCTCGTTGAAGTCTGAATGTGGCATGGATGCGATAGAAGAAGATGAAGCCAATTCCATGCCGAGTAATTTATGGGGGCTTGGCTGAAATTTTCTTCTGAAGCCTTCCTTTTCCTAGTAGCACACAACTCTTCACTTCTTGTGACAAAGGTGTTCACCATTGAGTGATATAACAGAAACGCTCGAATCCGTACACACACGCACTAAACATTTTCGATTTGTACAATAAAAGGATATCGTACCATCTTTCACCTTCACATACTATTGCACTGAACTAAGTTACTAGGAAAGTACAATAAGCCAGAAGGCTGCAGTGCCTGGGGAGCTTCCTAGTATCCTCATTACCATACCATCTTTCATCTCTCTGACACGCGTTAATTTAAAATCATTTACTAGAACTGCTGCGACTCGGGAAGAAACATATATTTAAAGGAGGAGATGCAAACAGTGCAACAAACTGAATCGAATTCGAATGGGTTTTGTGCACGGATTAATCCTAAAAAGCCCCCCTAAGTCTGTCGACCAGTACAGGCCAACAATTTTTTCCCCTTGCTTCGGCCAAATTCCAAAATTTTGCTTCGTAGTTGTTTGGAAGTCTGGGTCGGGAAATTCCGATTTGGTCATCTCTTTGACGTAGATGTTATTTATTTTCCCCCTTTTTTATTATGTGCAAACAGAATGCACTGAGTTAGACTCGTTATTGGTCCACAGAAGCTTTATAACCCTTACTTGGGGGTTAAATCCGCCTTTTCTACTGTCAATTAATGACCTTAAAATTTAGTATTTTATTATAAAGAATGACAAGTTGAAAAAAGCTATAGTCAAGGTAATAAGCAGGAAGAGGTGGCTAATTCCTGACATTTTAACATTAACACTATCTAAAACAAGCTCAACGTCGTAAATATTTTTTTTTACGAGACAGGAAATAAATTCAAACAGGTTTATTAAAAAAATTAAAATTTAGTTTGATCGCAATTACGAACAGTCCAACAGGGTTATATGGAGGGAGAGGCAAGTTATGCTCCCGTTTCGTCCATTACCGTTTGAACCAAAACTCATGGTTTTTTTACTGTTTCCTATTCTGTAAAGCACGAAATTAAAAAACACTGCTGATAAGAGAAGTTTTTCCTACCCAGCTCGACGCCGACGGTCGGTGTTTTTTTAAAACGTATTATTTGTTTATCTGATTATCAATACAATACACAAAAAAAACCTTCACGTGTTTATGTTTGTTTAGGATTTCCTGAAAGAAAACATGACAACATTAACAAGCTCATGCAAATTTTAAACTTAAAATATATCAAAACATAAAAAATCTTTGCATAGCAGTTTTAAGAATGTCACACTTGCTTGTTGTTATTTCTTTATTCAGTGCTAAAAAGTAAATCTGTTCAAAAATAGGTTCAGTCCTCTTTCAGGATCGATTATCATTTAACTAATTGCAACATTTACAACAAAAAAATCTTTTTCGTTTATCTTAAGAGGTCATGGACAGGGCAGTTTATTTTCAGCAGATAGATCCCAACGTAATTTAATCTCGTTATTTGGGGGGGGGGGAGGTGAGAAAGTATTAAATAAAAATTAGGCTCAATTAAACTTGTGTTTTGACCTAAAACCCTATGCTTCAAAAGTCAAGTTTACATAATAAAAATAAATCGTGAGGATAATTATGAAACAACGGGTCACTAAGAAACACAATTAAAAATCAAGTTTAAACCCTAAAAAAATTAATAAAATCAATTGAGCTTTGTTAGATCGTTATAAAGTGGTCATATAAAAGGATTTTTCTTAAAAAACAAAAAAACAAAAATCTTCAAGGCATCCTTTATGTTTTAATTATGCTCAAGGCATATAAAAATCATATAACCCAGTGGCGCACCTCGATATCAGAGATTGACTGAGGTTCCAATAGGTCGCGCTGAGATGTTGCCAGAAGACTGATACTACAAAGGAGTTTGTGTGTTGAAACATAACAACATGTACACAGCAAACAATATAATATAAAAACTTTTTTTTTAATCTTTGCTTTTATTTGAATATTCAGGAGCGATTCATAACGCCATTCAATTGGAAATTTTCTTCTATCCGCACTATCTACAAGCCACAAAAACCAACCTTTCCAATCCATTTCAACCTTTCTGGTGTTCCTCAAGGGGGCATCATAGTTACGTAACTTTTCACACATAAATTGATAATGTTGTAGATTGATAAAAGCATCAATTTAAACAAAAAATAAATAAAGTTTAAATACTATTTAATATCAAGATATATTACAGGCAGCCCTAAAGAACATGAACAGAAAATTATTTAAAAAGATTAGGAGAAGTTCAATCACATTCCACAAATTAACAAGTAGAACAGAACAAAAATATATTTTTTTCACAAATAAACAAATTTCGTATATTTTTATATTTATAAAACATTTTTCTTTGCCAGAGCTAGAAATAGGAAAAACCTGATTTGCTAGCTTAAATGAGAGAGTGTGAAGAGGGGAGAGAACTTACGTATAAAGGTAAAACGTAGAAAAAGAGAAAGAGAGTTTGTTAGAAAAATAGAGGTCGACAGCAATATGACTGACAACAGCATAAATAGTATGTGAAAAAGGGATAGATAGATATATGGTAGATAGATGGATAGGTTGATAGATAGATAGAGAGGGAGGAGAAAGGTAGAGAATTGAGGGAGAGAATAGTAGTTGAGAGGTAGAACGGAGAAAATGAAAAAGAGAGCTTCTTAGAAAGATAAAGGTAGAGGCTGAGGTAGAAAGGATACCATAACGGGCTAGAAGCAATAAAAATAGTGTAAGAAAGTGAGTGAGAGAGAGGTAGACAGAGAGAAACAGACAGACTGAGAGAATCAGATAAAAATGAATTATTGCAAAAAAAGAGGTTTTAAACAAACAGTGAGGGGCATCGGTGGCCGCAACGGCGCGTTTACACGGTGCTCATCACTGAGGTAAAGGTCCCGAGTTCGAATACAGCGGCCTAGCATTCGAACCCGACATACTTACCGATGGACTTTACAAAAAAAAAATGTTATCAATTTTGTTTAATACCTCGTCCCTTTTAGTCCCTGCAGCTCCGAAGTTGGGATGAATGTTGATATTTTAACCGAGTTTCGACGCTGAAACATATTGCAACGCCTTGATTTAAAAACAAAGAAAGTTGTTGAAACAGGGATGTGTTGAGCAAGTTGATTTTTCTTCTTTCCCACGTCTGTGGGAATCCATGGCAAATCCATTGAAACGGAAATACAATAATAACCGGGCCGTAATAAAAATACGGGTGTTTCTCTCGAAATTTTCGCCTTCTTCTGTTTGAAAAAAAATTATATTTAATATCGAGGTTTTTATCGGCATTTTAACGCAGCGATACACTGCTTAGGTACAAGAGCTTTTTAAACCAAGCCACTGTCTTTTTAAAAAATTAAACAGGCTAGATATCGTTTTTTATTTGTTTAATAATTGATTATTAATTGTAGGTTTGAACTCTATTGGTGTGTTCATCTGTTTGTATGTCCGATTCTCGTTGCTTCTTATTTGCTGTGTTTTGCTATTGCAGTTTTTAGACAAAACTAGTTGTGAATGTATATAACCATAGGCATTAGAGATGTTCTAATTAAGGCTAAAACCACAAAACTTTTTATATAAATATTCTAATATTTAAAACTTTACGCGCACTTGTTAAGAATTTGCAATCAAGGAGGCGTCGGTTCGTTTGGGACTATTGAAAACTGTTCTTTTCGCGCTTCCATCGGATCGATATATTATGCATTTATGGTCACTTTTTATGGTTTTTACGAAAGGGATCGTTTCATAATTTCTCGACTGGAGAACACCGACGGCTTTCTTCGTGACCGCTCCACTCCTTTCTCATTCCTCTCCCACTTCTTACGGGCCGTCACGACTCGTGAGTCAGTACATTTCGGCGCTCCGCTCGATGAGCCAGTTTCCGATTCTGTAAAGTTGTCGTTTCTTGTTTTATCCAAACCGAAATTTAAAAAAAAAGTTGCTAGTTTTTTCTTGGTACCGGATTGGATTAAAATAGGCGGAGATGTAAAAAGGAAAAGGTAAGATTTTTCAGAGTCGCCTTTTTTTCTCAAATAACCGAACATCGTTGCATATTGGGTTTTCAGACTTCTTTTCGTACTAACAAGAACAATACGAAAGACCATCTAGAAATTTCAAAATGCGAGAAACAAACTCCTAAATAAATGACACAAAACTCATGATGAAAAACACAGAAAACAATCTATCACTACCAACAACTGATGAGCTTTTGCAGACACAAAAACGTACACCTAAATAAAAGACACAAAACTCATCATGAAAAGTACAGAAAACAATCTATCACAACCAACCTCTGATGAGCTTTTGCAGACGAAAAAACGTACACTGAAATGAATGACACAAAACTCATCATGAAAAACACAGACAACAATCTATCACAACCAACCTCTGATGAACTTTTGCAGACACAAAAACGCCCACCTAAATGAACGAAACAAAACTCATCATGAAAAACAAAGAAAACAATCGATCAAAACCAACTTCTGATGAGCTTTTGCAGACACAAAAACGTACACCTAATCTTTTCTAAAGACTCTGTAGAGTTAAAACTTTTCTAGAATAGCAGGAACTTGGATCTGCTCTCTTAAATTAATTTATGTACAATTGAAGTAAATCTGACACAAAAACCTTCATCTGTTGAATTGTATGAAGGTCTATAGAATTGATGCGGTTCTAGAAGCACCCAAACTTTAATCTATTGAATCATGTTGAATTAAAGCTGCAGTTGAGAGTCAAAAGCGCATATCAGATCTCATCTTTAACTTTATGGAACGTTGAAGCAGTTCTAGAAGCACTAAAACGTGGGTCTGTTCACATCTCTTAGTTTACGTAGAGTTCAAGCTGTTCTAGGAACACAAAAACTTAAATCGGTTCTCTTATATAAATTTGTGTACAAATGAAGTAGATCTGACACAACAACCTACATCAGTTGAATTCTATAAATGGCTGTAGAACTGATGCGGTACTAGAAGCACCCAAAATTGGATCTATCGAATCCTGTTGCATTAAAGCTGCTCTTGAGAGTCAAAAGCGTACACCAGACTCATCTTTAACTTTATGGAAGGTTGAAGCAGTTCTGAAAGCACTAAAACTTGGGTTCCTTTCCGTTTAGTTTATTTAGAGTTGAAGTTGTTCTAGGAACACAAAAACATGGGTCGGTTCTCTTTCATTAGGGACTTGAGCGTGATAGTAGTTCTAGAGACTCAAAAACGTAGACCTTTTCTGTATCTTTATGTAGAGTTGGAGTCTTTCTTAAAACACAAAATTTTTATCTGTTCACTACCATTAAGGGTTTGGAGGAAACAGGAGTTCTAGAGATCCGAAAACGTAGACCTTATTCTATATCTTTATGTAGACTTTAATCTTTCTAACTAAAACTTGGGTCTATTCACACCTATCAATTTTTGTAGAATTAATTCTACAGAATTCTAGAATCACTTAAACTTGGATTTTTTTTTCAGTTCTGTGGGCTTGAGAGTAAATATACTTTTAGAGCCACAAAAACATACACACGATATTTTCCATAAACTTCTGAAAAGTTGAGATTATTTTGGAAGCATAAAAACTTGTGTCTTTTTAGTTCTAATTATTTATTTATAGTTGAACTGGTTCAGAAGCCCGAAATTGTGAATATTTTTACTCCTAATAATATTTATGTAGAGGTGGAAGCGTCCTAAACGCTCAATAACGTGGATCTGTTCACACCTATTAATTTACGTAGAGTTGAGAATTTATGCAGCCTTAACGTACAAATTTGGATATGTCCAATTTCTGACAATTCATGTAGAGTTAAAGTGGTATTAGAAGCAAAAAAACCAGAACCTTTTTACTTACATAAGGTTTCACATTAGAAATAGTTCTACAGACTCAAGAACGTTATTGATTATTGATCTTAGTTATAACTTTATGCACAGTTGAAGTAGTGCTAGAAGGACACAAACTTGGATGTATTATCTTTTATTAATTTATGTAAAGTTGGAACAGTTCCGAAAGCAATAAGAAATGGGTATTGTGTATAGTTGAAAAGGTTGTAAATGCACATGACCTTAGAAATGTCTGGTTTTGTGAAATTTCTATAGAGTTACAGCAGTTCGAGAAGCACCAACAGTGGGATCTATTCATCTGTATAGAATTGAAGCAAAAACGTACACCTGTTATTTTCTATAACTTTATGAAAAATCTTTATTAATTTACGTGTCATTGAAGCACTTCTGGAAGCGACAATACTTGGACCTCTTCAATTCTATATCTTTACACAGATTTTAAGCAGTTGTAGAAGTGCAAAAACTTGGAGAATGATAGATGACCTAGATCTACTCACATATATTTGTTTATGTTGAGTTGGACCAGCTCAAGACACATGATAACATGGATCACTTCACATCTATCGTTGGAACAATTCTAGAGAGCATAAAAACTTAGATAGTTTCACTTCTATTAATTTATTTATAGCTCAAAAAGTTTTAGAAGCACTAAAACTACCTCGGTTAACATCTGTTAGTTTATGCAGAATTGGAGCAGTTCTAGACACACAAAAACGCACTTCTTATCTATTCTATTCTTTTTCTTCTCTCTGAAGAGTGGAAGTCATTCTAAAAGCATAAAAACTTAGATAGTTAATTACCTGTTAATTTATTTAGAGTTTAACCAATTTTAGAAGCACTAAAACAAGCATCAGTTGAAACGATTCTAGAAGCACAAAAACTAGGATCTGTTCGCTACCATTAAGGGTTTGGGAGAAACAGGAGTTCTAGAGATCCGAAAACGTAGACCTTATTTTATATCTTTATGTAGACTTTAATCTTTTATTGTTTAGTATTATGATATAATATAATATTATTATTAGTTTATGCAAAGTTGGAGCAGTTCTAGACACACAAAAACGCACTTCTCGTCTTTTCTATAACATTCTGAAGAGTTAAAGTCGTTCTAGAAGCATGAAAACTAGTATCTCTTTACTTCTATTAATTTATTGTTGAAGTGGTTCTAAAAGCACAAAACCTTGGATCATATCTATTAGTTTCTGCAAAGTAAAAGTACTAGAGACTCAAAAAAAAAAAAATAGACGTGGTCTCTATATGTAGACTTTATGTAGAGTTGGAACAGTTCAAGAAGCATAAATACCTGGATCAGTCCATATCTGCTGGTTTTTGAACAGCTGAAGCAGTTCTGGAAGCACTAAAACTTGGATCATATGTATTAGTTTATGCAGAGAAAAAGTACTAGAGACTCAAAAAAATAGACGTGATCTCTATATATTTTTATGTAGAGTTGGAACAGTTCAAGAAGCATAAATACCTGGATCAATCCATATTGTGGGGTTTTGTAGAGCTGAAGCAGTTCTGGAAGAACTAAAACTTGGTTCATATCTATTAGTTTATGCCGAGAAAAAGTACTAGAGACTCAAAAAAATAGACGTGATCTCTATATATTTTTATGTAGAGTTGGAACAGTTCAAGAAGCATAAATACCTGGATCAATCCATATTGTGGGGTTTTGTAGAGCTGAAGCAGTTCTGGAAGAACTAAAACTTGGTTCATATCTATTAGTTTATGCCGAGCACTAGAGACTCAAAAAATAGACATGATCTCTATATATTTCTATGTAGAGTTAAAACAGATAAAGAAGCATAAATGCCTGGATCATTCCATATCTGTTGGCTTCTGTAGAGCTGAAGCAGTTCTGGAAGCACAAAAATTTGGATCTATTAAATTCTTTTAATTTCTGTAGAATTGAAGCTGTGCAAGACACTTAGGTGTTAGGTTTTATAACTTTATGTTGCGTTCATGTAATTCTAGATGCGCAAAATCTTCGAGCTCACTTCTACATTCTGTAGTTAAAGTAGTTGTCGAAGAATATAATCTTGGCTCTGTTTGCTTTTATTAATTTCTGTAAAACTGAAGAAGGTTTAGGATACAAAAATAGTCACAATGAGCAAAATTAATTATCAAATTAGACCACAAACACAACAACAAACAAAATAATCATAAAAGAAAGCAAAGAAGACTTAACAGATTGATGAATGAAAACAAGATTACAACTCATGAAATTCAAGGAAGTAGTCTCATTGTTGGTAGCGTTCTCACGAGGTTCTTTATGCTGAGCTGGGCTCACACACACACACACACACACACACACACACACACACACACACACACACACACACACACACACACACACACACACACAAAATGAATATGCTAAGAATGCGTTACACCCAAAAAGGGAGAATTGGGACAAGGATTAAAAAGCAAGGGGACGGCGTGGTCCGCGTTTCATTGCCAGCTCAGACCGTGAAATCCATTTCGCCTTCCGAAAAAACTCTGAGACGATTAGCACAGAGAGAAGAAAAACATCTATTATTTCAAAAATACTGTCTGTAATATGCCCTGTAGCGTAAGAGAAAAGATCTGGCAATTATTCCAGTAAAAAAGTGGAAATTATTTTAACATCGATGCCATCATGCCCTGATCAGACTGAAAAAAAAATCACCTGGGATAATTGTAATGTGTATATGTTATACTGTACAAGGTTGCAAAAAGGTTTATGGCTTCAAAGATTTCCAATGCGATGATAGTTGCAAACCGAATCCTATCAACCTTGAGCAACCACGTATGATTGTTCGCATTTGCCTGGTTGATCATTGACATACTCGATCTGCCCTTCAGACAGTCATTTCCGCTGATATATGCAAAATGGTATTGAAATCTAAATTGAATAGGAATAATTTAAACTCAGAGTCGGTGGATTTTCTGGAATTTAAAATTGTTTTTTGAAAACTTAAAAATTAACGACATGGAGTCTCTACGTTTCTGACGAAGTTTTATATAGCTGTAATGTTTCTACGAGCTTTATGCTATTGTGTGAATTTCTGAATACTAAAGCAGTTTGAAAATAATGAAAGTAAAATCTTTAAAATTATTTGGAATTTCTATAAATTTTAAAAGATACAATTTTTTACAGTGGCTGGCGTTTGGAAAGACAAAACCGAACCTGCTCC